CCATGCAGCTAACATACTCTCAGAACAACCTCTGGGCCTGTTCAATTTACATTTATGTGGCCCTTTTATAACACCAGGTAGTACCTTATCACACATGTGCTCCTTCCATACTGGATGCCAGTCACTTGGTACTGATGTGCATCCAGTTCAGTCTGTGCTGACTCTGTAATCAAAGCTGTTTTCAAAGTTGCTTTGTGTTGATGCAGTGGAGAAGGAATCCAGTCTCTTCTATGAAGGTTTGTAGTTTTGTATATGCTTCAAGCCAGTATATATTGCTGACGAGAACTATAATCCTTTCTTCCATCTGTTTCCATCTCTGTAGCATTCCTTTTGCAGGGGTAGCTGAGGTGGATGTGTTCAGACTGGAGAATCGCTTAGGGTTATAACTAGCTAAACTTATCCATTATCCACCTGGTGAAGCAGGTTGGCAGGCATAAATATTTGTGCCTGTTTAAGGAGAGGGCTAGTAGAGTGAGTAGGAGAAAGTCAGGTCTTATGACAGCAGTGCTGGCTTAAAGTGTACTTCAGACTACATCCTGAGGTTCTTAATTTATACTTCACTTCTAGATGCTGATGAAGCCAGTCTCCTACAGGAGATGTCTACATCCCTTATACACAGTTGGTGGAAGGAAGTAAGGGCTTTGGAGACTTAAGAAGGTCCTGTTAGCCTGATATTAGTACCTAGATTACTGGTGGACAGAACCTCCTTTAAAAATCCTTCAAAGGGAGTTTCTTCAACTTTTAAAGTTGAACTTCCTTCAACTTTTAAAGGGAGTTTAGATACTTTGCTTTAAGGGAGATGCTGCAGCAGATGCTTAAGTTTATGTGCAAAGTAAGTGTTTTAACGTAGGAGAACTGGATCTCATGCTTTGTTAAACATCTGGATTACCAACTTGAGTTTGCTTGGGTAATGCTTGTGGCAGGGGGCTACCAGTTCAGGCCTGGGCTCCATATGTGTACAGGATAGTATGTCCATGCAGAATATATGGGCTACCTATGGCAGTATGCATACCACAGCCTGAAGATACTTCCACTTCATGGTAGCTGTAAAGCCAGACAAAGCTGATGAAACCTGTATGAAAGTGAGACATAAAGGGATTCATGCGTATGTATCATTTCAAGGGTAAAGGGAGATGAGGTTCTGGTACTGAATACTTGCTTCTCCCCTAACCAAAAAAAAAAAACCCAGTATGAGCTTTAATGTTTCTGGTTTCACTTATGGTCCAATCATCTAGTTATTTTCCCATCCTGGGAGAACAGATGTCAGAATTAAATGAAGGCAATTTGTGAGTATATCAAGAAGAAGGAACACTTTAGGAGACGGAAAGAAAAAAATCAAATCTGTCCTTTCAAACAATTTAAAGTCTGGAGACATCTTGCTGTGGAGCAAATGTGTTAGTAAATGTATATCAAAAGCACAGTATTTCTTTAAAAAGTAGTTTTCAGGTTACCCCTTCTCCTGCTATGCTTTCCCAGCTTCGGTGGGCAGAAGTGTTGAATTTAACAGCCCTTGGGACATTGCCAAGACCAGGTTCAAACTAGCCAAGTGTATGTCCTTTTGAGATGCACTGCAGAAGGTGTCCATGTGATCAACATTTTGGAGAGGACGCAAAACTCTGCTTATCACTGCAGCGAAACAGCAAATGATTTGGACAAGCAACTAGTCAATGGCACTTTTAACTGATCTTTTAATTTTAGAATTCTAATGTTAACGGTGTGTACCTACTGCCTTAGTTGTACATAGTTTTAATGAAGTAATGAAAATCAACTTCAATTACTGTGCTTTTTTCTCTTTTTAGGACTATTATCACAGCCAGGAGGTGAAGCAACGTTTTATGTCTGCCATGCACAGCATTGCCCACCTGACAGCAAGAGATGTGGCTACAGCATTTGATCTTTCCCAGTTTAAATCTGCTTGTGATTTAGGAGGTATTGCTCGTAATTGAACTTATATACAAATTAAAGGGAAAAGCTTGATTTCAGTTCTATATTTTATTACTTAAAACATATGTATATTTTTTACTAGAACTGTGGTAATATTATCTGTTATTTTTCTGGTATTATAATGTCAGAATAAAAGGACTGAGTGCAGTTAACTGAAAGCAGAATTACTTAAATGGTACTTGAGTAGTTTGGAATACGTGAATGTTTGTCACGATCAGTTACATACTGGCAGCGCTCAACACAGAAAACAAGATGGTTTGTGGCTCAGCTGATAGAATATTGGTCTGGGAGCTCCATTTTCAACAGTGCTGTTGCTGTCCTTCGGCATGTCCAAGATTTTCAAAAGTGATGAAGGATTTATTTCTGAATCCTTCTATATTGAGGTGTCAAAAGCTGACACACTGCACTGCTAGAACATAAGGTTTTGATTCTTTCAGAATGGGTTTGTTTTGTGTGGTGTTTGAATTATTAATGTCTAAGATGACCACCAAAATGTTGAAGACCAATGATACACTTGAAGAAACTCTTCATGTTAGTGTCCTTTTTTTGCCCTGTGCTTGGAGTTGCACAGAGAGAGTGTTATTACGTAGGGAAAAAGAACACTTTAGTTAGTGTCTGGGGAGGTGGACAGCATGTCAGGGGAATTAACACAATACTGGTGCAACCTTTGCCACTTGTGCAGGTATTCCAAGACTTTACCATCCCTATCCCCCACCATGCTGGAGAATATTTGTCAAACTTCAGATACCAGTGCTTTGTAAATGCTAAATAGTTCTAGTGCTCTTCATCCACAAATTACAAGTCCTTGCCCTTTCATTAATATTCTTTTACCCCCAAAAAAACCCTGAGGTACTGGTATCAAAGGTCACATGATCAAAGGTCACATCATTCATGCCTGAATTCCCCAAGCTTTAAAGCATTGCTTTATCCAACAGGAAGTGCTGTTGCCCCTGTTAATTGTGGAGCTGACTGTCTACCTCCAATTCTGATTTGATGTCTCTATTTTAATGTTCTATACAGCCTTGTCTTTAAAAATGTTTGCAAATGCTGGGAGAAAAGAATTGATTTGACTTTTTTAAACTTTCAACAGGTTGCACTGGAGCTCTGGCTTGTGAATTAGTACAAATATACCCAAATCTCAAGGTCACAGTATTTGACCTTCCAGAAGTCATTGCAAACACCTCTTACTTTCAGCCTTCAAGACAACACACAGCTCCAGTGACATTTGTATCAGGTAAATGTAACACGTGATATTTTGTCTTATTTCTGTTATCCTGTAACACAGAGCAGGCTCTTTTACTTCAGCGAATGGTGTGCTACCCTGCTCCAAACCCCAAACGTGTGTCTTAGTACAAGGCAATGTAGGCTCACCCCTGCTAAATGGGGACATTGTATTTCCCAAGTGTGTGAGGAAAAAACAAACTGGCTATGGTTGGAGATTGTGGATATATAAGGAAGTATGAGTTAGGCAGTTTTAGTACCACTGGGAGTAGAGGCTGCATGTCCTTGTCTCAGGCTTTTCTTTTCTAGGCAAGATTAACATGGTGGCTACAAAGGACTTTGTCTCCTTCCTTGCTTCAGGCTTTCTCTTTATTTTTATATGTTACAGAATTCTCACCTGTGATCTGTTCTTCTCTTTAACTACACTTTTTACCTGCAAATCGGTGCATCCCTATACCTGTTCATTCTTGTTTCTTTCTTTACCTCTGCTGAAGCTCCTAGTTCCACCGCAGTATTTTAATTTCATTTTGTAGGAATGCAGTCTGTGGCTTCTGTAGCAATGTACTAACTCTGCTTTCCAACAGGTGACTTCTTCAAGGATAATCTTCCAGAAGCAGATCTTTACATCCTTTCACGTGTTCTTCATGACTGGCCTGATGAAAAGATACATGTGCTGTTAAGCAAGATATCGGCTGTTTGCAAACCAGGTAAGTTTTTTCATCTTGTGGGCTTAAAGGTGCATGTTAATGCATAAACATAATGAGTAATCATAAGAAGTTAATATTAAAAAAGCATATTTTTCTGTCCAATCATAGTAGCCTTTGCTGGAATGTCTATACTTGCATTATGGTAATATCTACTAAGAAAAAAAGGAGACAAAGCTGCTAATAATACTATATAAAGTAAGCCCTTACTATAGTTGCAGACTTCACCTATAACTACATCATCTCCCCTATCTCTGCCATGCCCAGTCTTTCTTACTAAGCCCAATATCATCAAATAACTAAGTATGTGCTTATTTCTATACATACAAGTAGTCTAACTAAAGTTCCTTTAGGTTAATCAAGAAGCAGGTTGTTTTGCTATCTCAGTAGTGCCCAGAATGTGGTAAACTGGAGTTCGTCATGACTTTGTGCACAGATTTTATGAGAAATACATAGCCTCTTCTGCTTTCTCCTACATTTGAATCATAGAATCATAGAGTATCTCAAGTTGGAATAAGGATCATGGAGTCCACTCCTCAAAGGACCACCTAAAACTAAACCAATATGACTTAAGAGTGTTGCCCAGATGCTCCTTGACCCCTTTGACAGGCTTGGTGCCGTGACCACTTTCGTGGGGAGCCTGTTCCAGTGACCAACTACCCTCTGGGTGAAGAACCTTTTCCTAATGTCTAATCTGAACTTCCCCTGATGCAGCTTCATTCCATTTCCTTGAGCCCTATCAATCGCTGGTCACCAGAGAGAGGAGATCAGCACCTCCCCCTCCACTTCCCCCCTTGAGGAGGTCGTAGACAGCGATGAGGTCACCCCTCAGCCTTCTCTTCTCCAAGCTGAAAAACCAAGTGACCTCAGCCAGTCTTTAAGTCTTGCCCTTGAGGCCTTTCACCACCTTGGTCACCCTCCTCTGGACACACTATTAATAGTTTGATAACCTTCTTGTATTGAGGTGCCCCAGACTGCACACAAAACTCGAGGTGGGGCTGCACCAGTGCAGTGTAGAGTGGGACAATCATCCCTCTCGACTGGCTAGCTATGCTGTGCTTGATGCACCCAGGACACAGTTGGCCCTTTTGGCTGCGAGGGCACACTGTTGACTCATATTTGGAGAGTCTTAACAATCAAAGAAGACGACAAAAAGCAGAAAAGCCTGACTGCTAAGATCAACTGATTCCTTAATCCAACAGGATTAACTGTAGCTACAAAGTTTATTTCATAGGAGAGCATTCAAAATTAGATCTGGGCCATAAAGCATAATCCTGTTTATAAATTATGAAAGAAAATTATGGGTAACTGTCTTAATCTTCTTATGTGAATATTGGGGTATGACAGATGCTTACAGGAGTTGCTTAGTTCAAATGGAAATAAGTCTAAGTTTAAACTCATCATAGTCAGGAAGTGATCTGAACTTCTCTGAAGTGGAGACAGTGCTCTAACTCCCCCTTCCTTTTAAGAATGAAGCAATTACTGAAAGTTTTGTCACTGATTTCCACTGAAGACGATTAAAACACTAGCCTGAGGGACCTCTACAGCTGTCTCTGAACAAAATGCTAAAAACTTGAAGCTAAAAATACTTTACTGAACCACTTTTGGTTGTTTTGGAAATGCAGGAAGTGCCTTGCTAGTGGCAGAAATTGTGCTTGACGAACAGAAGATGCACCCTCCTAGAGCTGTACTACAGTCCCTCAGTATGACTGAAGGCAAGCAGAGAAGCGAGTCAGAATATAAACAGCTACTGGAGAAATACGGCTTCACAAATGTACAAATTAAGATCACAGGAAACTTGTTAGATGCTGTTTTGTGCTTCAAGAAGAATTTGTCACCGTAGTATGCCCAGAACTGGGATGCTGAGTTTTTACACCAGTTGTGCAATATACCCATCATCAGCCAGCACATATTGTCTGTTTAGGATCATTTTGACCCTTTTAATGTGAAGCATAGTTGTTATAGGCCTTGAATGAAAGTTGAATTGCAGCTTCTGCAGGAGTGAGTTTTACACATTTAAAAAGTGTCTGGGGCAGGCAGTCTGAAACTCTTCATGTATTAAATACCTTCATGTCCGATTCTTTTGGCTAGTTTGCAGACCATATTGAGCTTAGACGTGACATAGCTGTATAGCATGGCAAGTTAAAACTACAAGTTTTTATGAGCCACATTAATACCTTGGTTTTCTTGGACCTTAAAATCACAGAGAATTCTTCCTCTGCAGTGTGTTCAGTGGTTACTGCTAATTTTTATCAGAAATGAAAAAATAAAAATTAGTACTGTGGCCTCTGTCTGAATTTGGGGGTGCTAGTTCTCTTTTCCACTTTCCTGTAGGGCTTTACTCAAGAACATCTCAAGGATACCTTTTTTAAGCACTTTTTCTGCAGGCAAAAGTGAAAATAGAACAAAGCTCAAACATGTTCCTAGAGCAGCTATAATGTCACAGAAACACTTCAGCAGCCTCTGACCTCCAGCCACAGTATGTACCCCCACAGACTGCAGTTGAGAACTGTTCCTGTCGGTTCCTATCAGTCTGGGTTTTTTCTGAATATGGTTAAATCGCCATATATGCTTTCTGTCTCATTACTTGAGATTTAGGATTTATGTATAAATTCTCTTCTGAAAATTAAAACCAGAAGTTTCTTCATGTTCCAGTCTTTAATTGGAGAAGTACATACTGTATTGCATCTCTTCAAGTAATTTGTTGCTAATGTCACCTCTCCTAATGTTTATTTTTTCCTGATACAAATAATTGATATTTATTTTTTCTATTTAAAGTGTACTTTGTAGTGGAAGCCTTCCTGGAGATTAAAGTTGCACTTTCAAACTAGCTTTTCTTCTCTGTCAGTTGTGAGTTTCTTGCCTGTCACACTTCACAGCAATAATCCAAATAAGCCAGTGCGAAACAGGCTGAATCACCAACCTCAGCAAATTAAAGAGAGTTGATGAGCAAGGTTGTGAGTTGATGAGCAAGGTGAGGAGTTGCATCTGCCTGGTGGACTCTGTCTTATGTTACTTAATCAGGAGTTACTTTATTCTTTGAGCACCAAGTAAAGCAAAAGTGCCACAGTGATTCAAGTCATCATGAGAAACATTCTTACTACAGAGCATTTCAGGGGAGTTTCAGACTTTTACCACATCTGGGTTTTTAATTCTTAGCAGAAGGCTTTTATGAATGGAAAGTTGACCCTTCTCATCTGTACAGACATTAAAAGAGATAAGGCAAAATATTCAACAACTGAATAAATCTAAAATGTTTCATTTCCATATTGACATGAAGCTTGACATTATGCTTAACACAGTTGCATTTTGAGTCTCATTCCAGCAATCAGATGTTTCTAACCTCATAGTTATTCATAAAGTTCATAATGCTGTTTTTAGCTGCTATAAGCTGTTTAAGTCAGAAATCGTGAAGTTGGCACACCTATAACTGTCACAGACTTTAAAACTGTGCCTCTAAGTACTATGAATCTGACTGTAAAATTTGAATAGAATGTGCTTGACTACCACACAACCTCAGTGTACTCTGTGATTAAAGCACACCACTCTGTACACGCAAAGAATTAGTCCCTTGGGCATGGTGTCTGTGGTAATGCAGGGCA